GCATTGGTCCTTTAAATTACACGGCAACACAGGAGTTTCTCGGCCAGTGGCGTTAATTGCGTGCGAATATCCTTGAGTCCCACTAGTGCCAGTAAGCTGGTGTAAAATGAAAAGCATTCCAATTGAATATCGTTGCACCGCCCCTTTAAGGGCAAAGTTCCTTAGGGTTCCTTGTCCGACGTCCGTGCTCACATCGATTGCCATCCTATCTGTCTTCTTAAAAAAAATGAAAAAAAAATGTTTGCGCAGTCGACAGGATTTGAACCTGTGCGGGGAGACCCCAATGGATTTCTAGTCCACCGCCTTAGCCACTCGACCACGACTGCGGGACGAGTAGGGGGCTCGGAGATGTGGTAGTAACTCAAGAGCTGGGGACGTCATGGAATAAACGTTGCATGTAGCCGCTCAACGTCTATACAGGAGAGGGCGCTGCGGCCAAATGCGTATATAATCCCGTTAAACGCTGCATGCATTGGCTCGACGTTTATAGACGATAGGGTGCTGAGGTCAAGTGCTCACAAAATCAGTGTCATCAGCACCACCAGAGCTTCGCCCCAATCAACATAATTCGCCTCGTGGAGATGCGGTAATTTTTTTTTCGAACTGCCGGGCTCAGCTCGAGCTGTCGCGCGTCCTGGCCATTTTTCTGGCGCGCACTTTCTCTGCGTCTAAGTAACAATATATACATATATATATATATATATATATATATATATATATATATATATATATATATATATATATATATATATATATATATATATATATATATATAACACGGGCACTTCACCCTATCGTATGTGGTCTCCGAAGAGGAAATAAATAAACATATGCAGATGAATGATCTATATATATATGGTCGTCTAAACCCCAAACAGACGATGACAGACAGTATATTTGCTACCTGACTTGTGTTGCTTATTCATATTCTGCACAACACTGTGCATTCATAGACAATTCTTAATTATTTGACGGTCGATCAATAATTTTCATATAATTTTGAGATTTTTATAGCTTTATTTATACGTAAAAGTATTATAATAATATTGTCGCCGTCACATTTCTGTGGCTCAACATAATACATTATTAATCATCATCTTTTGTAATACATTGACCTGTAATCTGATCGTTAAATTGCAGCATATATTTGCCCTTGTGTCCTTTGTGTACAAGTATGTTCTGAAAAAGTTCAATACGTTAACAAGAAAAAAAAACGGTAAACATAAATTTTGAAATGATATGAATAGTATTTTGATTTAAGCTGTCGACTATTCGCGATTGATACGCGGAATCATGGATGAGAAGAAAGCTTTAGATTGTAATTTCAATTCAGAGCAGAAATTTAGTTGCCGAGTTTCTGCGCACCTTAATAGAGAAAGAACTTTTTCTTTCGAAACTGCTAGCCCCAAATACTTTTCAGCAATACACCCTCGGGAGATATTACGTACATACCGTCCGAGAAGCACTGGGAACTCCAGTGCTATTCCTTTCATCGGGTTTCAATGATAATAACGAGCAACATATGCAGAATAACGTGGCAGAAGGCTCACATCTCGTAATCCCCAATGATTACGAGATTTGAGCCTTCTGCCACTTCGGCCTTATAACCATCGAAGCGCGACACCGCTGATGACATTCACGCAGAGATATGATTGCGCTTCAGAGTGCATCGCAGTGCAGTATACTCGCAGGAACTCTCGAGAGTGTATAGGGTCAAACATTTGTGCCGGAACTGTTATTTTCCCTAAATCTCGGCGCTGACTATTTGTTCGGCGACGTCCTGGTCATCGAACGATGTCCTAGCAAGTCCGAGCCCGCTTCAAACGACTTTTCGGACGGCTCGCTCGAAGTCCCCGACCTGGTAGACTTGTTCTTGAAGGTCGCCATCAACGCCTCAAATTGCGCCTCGAGGTTGTCATCGTCAAATGTGGGACAAACCACGAAGTCCGCGTGGTCGTAGCTTTGATGGTCGTCAGTATGGTACAGCTTGCACGGGAAGTCTGTCAGCCGTTGGCTGGGATCCCCTAACTCCCGAAACGCTTGACCCGCCTCGGCGTCATCCGCGTACTTGCGGGCACCTTCGTCCGGTTTCAGCGACGCGAAGAAGTCCTTCGGACTCTGGGGCTCGGACCGCTTTCCGTGGGCGCCCGTATCGGCGAAGCTACAGCCCTCTTCGGCCCTGTCCCAAACGTCGGAGGCCACGTCTTGGGAAGTGTAGTTCACCCTGCTAGAGTAGAGCGAGCCGTGTCGCGCCTCCTGGTGGTCGGCGTGCGCCCAGTCGAAGGGCTCCATCTGCGAGGTCAGGTTGCTCTTATCGGATGCGAACAAGTCCTCCAGCGCCGCCTGACGCGTCAGCGATGCCAGGACTGTGCCATCCTCGGCGATGTTGCTGAACGGCCGTTGAAGCATGCCCGAGACCACGGGGGATCCTTCGCGAGACTGCTTCAGCGAACGCTTGGCCAGCCTGCGAGAGGTGCCCGTTGGGAATGTTCGCCTTAGCTGTTGATCATTTCTGATTATTTTTCTGGAATGCCTGTCAATAGCACAATGACCCACAAGACTGTCCGCCAATGTAAAACGACACCAAGCAAAACTTTGGGACTATGGTACTTCGTGAACTATACGAGCGGCTCATATATTTCGATGCCATTTAGGGTTAAGCAAAAATCTTATTATAATGAAGGCAATTATCAGCAAAAAAGCGAACGCCGAGAAAATGATCGCCACACTGAGGTACCAGCGACGCTGAAAGCAACGTTAAAAAGAATACTGTCACAAACTCCCACATAGTCCAGAGACTTGCTCTTTTTGCACTCCGTGTGCACAGAGCGGTGATCGCATTGTGCTCTACATCCCCAGGGGATTAACACTGGGCGACTTCTATTACAGGCGCGGGCGGCAGACGTGAGCACAGGTGTTGCTCGGTGCCACACCGGGAAATTTGATAGGTTAGCTTCTCGGGGTCAATAGCTAGCATGACAAAAAGGAGTTAAAGGTTATGATATCACTGGTCAGGCCCTTTTTACGCGAAAGAACGCATCTCATGTAAGTTGTCTATCAATAGCTGAGACGCGGAGACGTCGATATTCGTTCTTAGACTGGGTTCAGCCTTGGCTCATGTGCAAGACTGATTAAATAAAGCAAATATATGACGGCCAAAAAAAAAAAAATACGGAACACAGGTAGCACAGAAGGGCGTCCAGGTAACCGCTTTCCCCGCGCGCACGCGCACATTCCTTCACTTACAACTACTCGCAACAAGCTAAAACAGCTCACACATTCCCGACGCATCGAGGTATCTAGTTTAGAGTCGAGAACCAGCTGGATCCTAAGGATTATCCAGTCTGTCACAGAACGGCTTCTCGGGTTTTTCTTGATCCTCTGGAGCGTGTATGTCACAGTCCTCCGCTGATGGAACAGTCTAACTTCGGCCAAAAGGTTAGGTATGGGTTCAACGCACGTGACTTTATACAACTAAATCCGAATGAGCGTCACCACCTCTTTTCCGGCTCCAAGACTTACACATGATTAAAAAAAAAAGTTGAGCTGCAGAAACCACTATTGTTGGTTGCCTATGAATTGCGATAGCCTTCGTCATGAGACTCACGACGCAGCTAACTGTGAATACGACGACGCAAATTTTGATTGAAAACTTCATCTTATGAATGGTTTACAACGCAATCATTGACGTCAGCGCGACTACAGCGCGCCAATTCGAAATTGAGTGATTGCTTCGTCTCTGTGTAATCGTTTCAATCATCTGTCTTTTTGTAACCGTTTAATGTCCAAGCTGTTTTCCCACCATCATTGCAGCTTCTTGTGTGTCTTGCCCTGTCTCTCTGTGATCGTTTAGTGTTCAAGCTGTTTTACCACCATCATTGATCGTGTATACAAACTAGATCAACTCAAACTGGTAATTGCTTCGTAGCTTGGGCGCAAATGTGAATGCGTGCATTCTGTCACTACACGTTGCGCCGCGTGGGTTTATCTGCTTGCAACGCAGCCATGAGCGGTTCCTTCGTAGCTTGGGCGCAAATGCTAATGTGTGCGTACTGCCGCCTCGTGTATAGCGCGGTGCGGGTTTAACTGCTTGCTAGGGTTACGTCGAGGACAACATCTAGGACAACCTCTAGTACGACCTCTAGGGCGATCTCAATGACCTCTAGGATGATCATAATGACGACCTGTAGGACAACGTCGAGGACGACATTCTATAGGACGGAGTCAAAGACGACATCTAGAACGACCTCTGGGACGCCCTCCAGGGGTGCTATGTTGCGCTTTTTGGACTCCCAGGAGACTAGGGAGAGGGAAGTGACGTCAACGACACAGCAAACGCAGATTGGGTGTTGATTTCGTTTTCTTCTGTCAACATCCAATCTGCGTTTGCTGTGTTGTTGACGTCACTTCCCTCTTCCAAGTCTCCTGGGAGTCCAAAAAGCGCAACATAGCCCCCCAGGGCGATCTCAACGACGACATCTAGGACGACCTCAAGAATGACGTCTAGGACGACGTCCTAGAGGAAAATGGCGAAGACGTCGTCTAGGATGACCTCTAGAAAGACGTCGAAGAGGACTTCAAGGACTTCAGGTCATTTGAAGAGGGTGCGAATGTGAAGGCGTGCGTACTGCCTCTCCGCATATACTCGGCGCCTGCGTATGCGCGGCGCATTCAAGGCCAGATACCGTATTGCGAAGATTGGGTGAAGTAGCTAAAGAATACTATCGGATTAAAACAGCAGCAACAAATAAAATAAATGTGGCTAAGAGGACACGTATAGTCAACTGCAAGCATGGTGCCTCACCGGTACCCCATGCGTGCGAGCATCTGCAGCCTGCACGTGAAAGTTGAAACTAGCTTTGGCAAGCTTGCAATGGCTTTGGCAATTGCAAGCTAGCCAATAGACGATTGCAAGCAGATGCCCTGCTTGCAATCGTCTATAGGCGGGCTTTTTAATACTTCGGAATATTAATTTTGTTGTCAAGTACTTAGAAGAACCTCTACCTTTAAAGAAAAAAACGATCCCGTCCTTTTGAATTTGCTATTTGATTGTGGCTTCTTGACTCACTCTCTCAATTGCTTCTCTGGTATGTACCTTCCTTTATATTAGTTTACGCGCTTCGCTACGCACCTCTTGAGCGGATCCGGATACATCCTCATCCAGCGATGCCTGACCAGCTGTCCCATGGTCCCCCTAAGGTGCACCACGGGCTCGAGCAGAGTCCGGATGACGTTCCTAAGCTCCGGCGTGGCCACGAGCTGCCTCGGGAAGCGGACGGTGCGGGTCATCTGCTGCCGGACCTGCCGAGCCAGGTTCTCCACGTCGAAGGGCAGGGCCCCGGTAACCAGCACGAAGAGCACGGCGCCAAGGCTCCACATGTCCGCGCTCTTGGGCAGGTACCGGACTCCCTTGAGCACCTCCGGCGCCGCGTACGCCTCGCTGCCGCAGTACGTCTGGCTCATCAGCTGCCGCCCCTTGTGCTCCGGATCGTCTGCGCTCGTCAACCGATTTCCGCGGGTGTTTGGACGTAAAGGACTCTCCACAGGTCTTTGAAAGCGTGGAAAGTATTTTAATGGGAACCCCCTAATCCAAGATGTTTACCCGCCCGTCCGATAAAATAAGTAAAACAATTGACGCCACGCGACGCCATGGTGTCGCGTGACATCACGACCTGACATTGTAACATAACGTCACGTGGCGCCACAACGTCAATTTCCCCCCTAAATTTAGCGGAGAAAGTTTGCATCAATTTATTCGTCAAACTTAGCGATAAAGTAATAAACATGTTATGCTCTTCACTCTGCAAAACGACTGTTTAATGCCCCACACATTATATGACTGTTTTAATGTCCCACACACTAAACGACTGTTTGATGTCTCACACAAGCGTTATTGGCTTAAATGGGAACTGTGTTGTAAAATGTAAAAACGAAAGGCAATAAATTGTATTGCATTCTAAACAAATATAAACGACCGCTCCTTCGGTATTGCATTCAATGCATCATACAGTGTTAGCCAATAGGGTATATTTGGGGCTAGAATGAACCCGATTTCCACTAGTATCTGCAAACATTTACACGCTACGCAAAAATAAACAATCCGTGTATTCGTCGGGTCAGCAGTGTGACGACTCCGAAACCCGGCGTCCCGCTTCGCAGTATTGTTTCCGAGAACGGGTGCTCGCAGAAGAGCTTAGCCACTTTCCTGCCAAAAGAAAACCTGTCGACCCTGACACTATCCCAGCCTTTTCATTTAAGTAGCTCCACTGAACTGATAACTCATCTTCAGACACTGCATGGCTCTCCATGCATGGCACTACGGCAGTGCAGCGCGCTGTTTTAGTGGGTAGACAAAAAGCTAGCTGCCTTTGTCTCTACTCACTATTCGAACGCGAACGCCGTACACCAGGTGCCGGCTTTCGGTGTCCGAACGCGTTCGAAAAGAGAGTAGAGCCGTCTACCCAGCAATCATTCCAACCAGAGCTCGGTATTCCGCCTTCCCCGCGCGCTCTTGTCGCCTCCTCTCTCACTCTCTCTATCCCTCTCTTCCTCTCTGTTTCTACCCGCGTACATGAAGCATTCATTCGGAACAAGCTTCATGGGCGTCGGTAATTCAACACGAGGTATATTTATTTTGCATCGAGTTGGATGTAGAAGTGATTCATGCCGGTGCCCCACCCTCTAAGGAAAAAAATGGAAGAAAAAAGTAGCAAAGGCTCATTTTCCTCCCTTCTACTCAGGCGCCTCCAAGCGGACACGAGAAGAAGGGAGGAACGAGACGTTTTTCTCCTTCTCAAGGCATCTTCTTTCGGTTTCGCTTTTCGCGCTTACGTCGCACATGCTGTTTAATAAAAGCTGTTCAGTTGACTGAGCTTCAGCGGCAGCAAAGGCCGCCTGTAATTCCGTCTTCTAGTCCAAACGTGCAGAGCATTTCGGTTGCACTGACGTTTTTACCACTAATATTATCAAACGAGCAAACGAAGCCGTTAGAAACGGTTGCGTATTTTCGGCACCGATTTGTTATCCAGGGCGTGGCGAATGACGTCACACACGTCAAGATAACTGCTTTTATTTTGACGTCTTAGTTATTTTGACGTTTACAACGTTTTCTTTGGATGCCACTGACTGCGTTTTGAAATGTCGGTCGTTTGGCGTGTGTGTGGGTGGGTGCTCGGCGGCTCGGCGGTGTCTGCTCTGGTGCGTTTTGTCGACGTTGCCGCCTGTACTCGTCGCGTTCTCAGGAACATCAAAACAAGCGTTCTCCATTTTCAAACTTCGCCCGGTGCCGTCCGTCACTCCTGTTGCAAATGAGGATTACGTGTACCGGAGGCGACAGAGCCCAGCCGCAGTAATTTTGTACGCATTTTTCTGGAGCCGTACTTGGGCGCAATACGACGGATTATCACCCTTGCAAAGAATAGCTGCGAAGGCCGTGCACGTGGCGAGCGAGTAGCCTAGACTGGCATGACTTCACCCGTTGGAGGAGCGCTCGTGCCACGCGATCCAAAGCAACTAGCTCGCGCTCTTAGCACTGTCGTCGACAGCATTTTTTTTTTTTCAGTGTTAGTCGTAAAAAAGAAATGTCGTAAATATCGCCAAATGCCCTAACAAAACAATGTTCGAAAAAAAGAAAAGTAAGCCTCCATTGCGGATAGAACCAACGACCGCTTGCGCATGAGGCAAACATTTTAACCGCTAAGCCACGCTACAGTTTTTTTTTTCTTTATTGCATGGTAGTTACAGCAACATTCATGTCATTCTAACAGCGCTGTACAGCTCTTTTGTGCACCGTATTAAAAATCACTCATTTCGAGGAGTGATTTGAAAATACTAGTCCACTCCGGTTCAGGTTCACAGTTCAAATACACAGTCTGTACTTGTTTTACAAGGTTGAAGAAGTATATCCGCACTTCTTTTGCGTCGAGGTCAGCATGTCGAACAGCCATACGTGATCTTCCAAATGCTGCACAAAGCTAACAACATAATCATGTCATAAGGAACTTCAATATCATTATTCACACTAAGAAAACGCATCCCTGTTGGGGTTACAGGTAGTTCTTTCTTTAAAGTGCGTTGGAGGACTACCCAGAAAAATACCGCGTCCCAAGAAAAAATAAACACATGTTCAATAGTCTCAGGTTTTTTACATAGAAGGCAATTTACCGACCATGGCACATAAATCCCTCTTTCTTTAAGCCAAACCTTAACTGGCAAGGTACTCGTATGTAATTTATAAAAGAAAGTCTTAAGGGGGATTCAACCGCTCGTCACTCAATGGGCAAATTTCGCTACACAAACCCAAGTTTCGGGAATGCACGATAGTATTCATTCTTTTGGAGGCTACTTATGATAACGTAATGAAGCTTGTACGGTCCTTAGATTTTTCATTTAAAGCGCTGAAGATTTTTAATAAAATCCAGAAATATGACCGTTTTGACTGTTTTTAGCGCGTTTGGAGGCATTTTTGAAAATACAATTATTTAGAAGACAAACGTGACAAAACGCTCGGCCGTATATGTACTAGGGACGCCTCTAATCTTAATTTTAAGACCATGAGGAGAAAGCAAAATATTGTTGTATTTGCGTGTTTGTGTAAATAAAATCACCTTGTTAATTTTATTTCCAATTTGTTAAACGAGATGGCGACACTAGTACTAAATGCATCAAACCGGAGATTTTCTTGTTGTTGCTGTTGTTGTTTTTCTCTCGAGCTCGAATTCGACCGCGATGTCTCGTTGCTCGTGGATCGGTACCACGTGTAGCGAAAGCTCACGCTGTAAAGCTCACTGATCGTGGATTCAATCCACCGCCTCTGCCCGTTTCAGTCTGGATTAGTCTGGATGAGCATCGTACCGGCGTGCTGTCATGTATCACTATTGCGTGATGCACGTTAAAGTCGTCAGACAATCAGCGGTATACTGCACTGTCTTTCATCTTCAACGAAGACACCAGATGCCCTCAGAGCTGACTAACTTCCCGCTGTATAAACATGGAAACAACAGAATTACAATTATGGCTCCGTTGGTCGGCACGTTTTGAACGTTGCAAAAAAGTGTAACCATCAGCAGGCTCCTAGCGAAAGGCTTGATAAGGCTCTGAAGGCGATACTTTTGTAGATTCTATTTTTTTGTGTGTCCTATGTTAGCGCGCGTGGTCAAACGCTTGCATATGCTACAAGCGTGGCTCGTAAGCACACTAACATCGTGCAGGGTTGAACAGAGATATCTTAATATGTAGGGTGCCTCAATGTCCTTCTGCTTATAGGGTAATGCCACCCTTCGTAGTACCCGATGCCGACAGCAGGGGCTCAAGGGTAAAATACAAATAAATAAAAAAGAAAAAAAAAAAGTCGCCATAGCACAGTCAGCACCACAAACGCGTGCCGGGACACGCTCTTTCACGCGCTTCTGAACAAAAAAAGAAAAATAAAAGTTTGGGACAAAATGGCCAGATATGTCTCCACCCTAAGCAAAGAGCACATGAAGGCACCCTACTAATATGTATTTGGAAATTTAAAAAAAAAAATAGTTGAATGAGTTGTAAAGAAGGCTAAAATACTTATTCCGAACAACATTTATTTTATGAAACATTATTTCAGATATTTTCATTCTCTGTAGGACTTGTTTGGTGGCTAGTGGATATATATATAAAAAAAAGAAGCATCGTTTCTATTATTTTGAACAATTACAATATATTTTCTGAACCAACAAACAGGTGCTTACTCTGAGATGGAAATTGAATTTTGACGTTAGCGTTTGGCGCCCGAAAATATATATATATATATATATATATATATATATATATTTTTAATTTAACACTTTTCGTTTTGCGGCCGATTACTAAGAAAACCAAACGGGCCACCAAGAAGTAGAAAATACGTTTCTAGCTAAGGTGAGGCGTACGTTTCTTTTTTTTTCACCTTTCTAATTTTAGGCAAAATCAAATAAACCTCTAAATAACTTAAGTGTCTTCATAAATAACCTCGGGAATTCACTATTCTATTGTCCGTTATGAACACTTCTTTCAACAGTGATCTTAGTATGTGACGGTGGAATGAAGCGGTGCTTGCTACCTTACCTGTCTGGAAACAAATTGGGGTGTGTGTACGTTAATACAGCTTAGAACATAGTTGCCTCAACGGGCGACAGGTCTCCCAGCTGTAGGTGAGCAATTTAGCCAGTGCTGTACAGCCGGTACCCTGGAGTCTTTAACGTGCATCACGCAGAAGTTATACACGACCGCACGCCGGTACGGTGCTCATCCAGATCGAAACGGGCAGGGGTGGGGATTGAACCCAGGATCCCCATGTTATACAGCGCGAGCTTTCGCTCCACGTGCTCCGAGCTGGTGTGCTCTAGCCCACTCATACCCCTGTCAGACGGGCTAGTTTAGTGTCACTACAAGCGAGTGCACTTCGCCCTTAGTGTAATTTCCGTAGTGTGCCACACGGCTCCTTCC